TTTTATAATAGTCTGTGGAAGGTTTATTGTAAATTGACAAAATAATCTGATTTTCAGTTATTTAGTAACAGCTGCAAGAAAAGAATTAGACCTTGTAAATAATACTTTTGAAATGAAGAAAGCCTGGGGTAATCAAGAATGGATTTTTGTGCGAATGAATTGTCTGTTTCATATAGTTCTGGGGGAAAAATAAGCATGCTAGCCTTTTTTCCTTTCTTTTTTTTCTTTCACTGTATTTCTTTTGCCTCAAAGCTCTGGTTAATAAATCTTGGGATTCTGTTTTTTTTAAAAAACAAACAAAATTTTTACTTTAAATTAAATTTTAAGAAAGAATTTGTACATGTTATTTTGGAAATAACTAGTCAGTAGCAGTGGAGACATTATTTCAAGTCAGGAAGTTAAGACATTGAACACAGTAATTTCAGAATAAACATACAGGATTGAGATGTGTAAATTTACAATCCAAAACATTCTGTAGCTTGAACCACAGCTCATTAAAATCAATGGAATCTATTTCTAAGTCAACATGATAGGAATTGTATATTGCGTTAAACTGGTTCTTGGTTTAAACTAAACTTATTTCTATTTAATAGCCAATGAACATTCCTAGAGAATTAAATTATTAAGTGTTGAAAATTGCATTTTGAATGCAATTTTGGTTGGTTCAGATATGTGTAGTGTTTTGTACAACGGGTTGATGATGAACTAACTGCTTACTCAATGAAGGCTAACAGTTTGTTATAATTAAGACAGATGATTGCTTGGTATTTGCTTCTATTGTAAAAAGTTATAAAAATAGTAGCCTTTTTATATATTTTTAGTATTCCTATTGGCCACGCCCAAATTAAAACACTTAAAACATTAATTTACTCTATATCTTTTATATATCTTCTTTCATACCATATGACAGATACTGAAGTCTGGGTATATAGTAAAATATTAAGAAGGTCTTGCTGTACTATATTGCATCATTGGTATCTCCAAAATCATATGCTTAATGAGCATATGCTCCAAAGTACATTACAGAAATATAGTTCGTAAATGAATATGCAATTGATTATCCTAATGTAGAATGATTGCAGAAACACAAATACTATCCCAAACTGCTGACTGGTTGAATGAATGGAACATTATTATTGCAAATTTGTTATGAAGATTGAAAACTACCTGTTCCTGCCTTGCCTGCTCCACTAATTTCCACTTAAGCAAGACCATTTCTACTTAAGCAAGCATTCGGAAAGAAGGGGAAAAATTACATCCATTTATGTGACATTTCAAGCTAAACAGATCACCAAGCTTGTTAACATTTTCTACATAACTTTAATTATTTCTATAGGTGTCCATCCCTACAAATGCCAGTTCTACACTTTTCTTTTGCAAAAACCAGTTGAGAATATATTTTGAACTAGATATCAAATAGAAACATGCAGGAAAAACACAGTACATGCCACGTTGGGATAATTGATATATATAACATTACGTTCATTTTAATTGAAAGCAAAATATAGGTTTATTTTTTGAAGGTATAAAAAAAATTGTGCCCAGCCTGGAAATTGGAACTTAATGATTCAGTGAAGACGGTGCTGCTTGAATAGGCCAGAACTTGAGCGACTTGAGCTTGTATATCTAGAAAAATGACTTAAGTTTGTGGAAATAGTGTTATGATTTTAAATTATCTATGGTCATTGCAGGACAAGTGATAGGGATCAGGGAAGTGGAGCCTATTGATGTGCATCATTACAAGAGTTGAAAGTACCTCAAATCAACAACAGTGTATTGAAGGGATCATAGGAAAAAATAATATCCACATTGCCTGATACCTTATAATAAATTATTATGCTTGATATGAACTTTATAGTTGAAGGGAAATTGGTCTGGAAGCAACAGAGAGACTAGAATACCAAATCTGGCTTGCAAAAATCCAGATGACCACTAGATGGGAGGAAAGAGAAATGGAAAACTCTTGACTCATAGTTTCTGCAGCCCATGTCTTGTAATTTTAAAAAAAGAATGTTTAGAGGTTCATTTTCAGGGTACACCATGTGGCCTTTCAATCCAAACTGGAAAAAATAATTAGAGTAGTCAAAATGCAGTTCTTTTCACCCCAGTCTTTTGCATATAAAAGTGTGATTTGTGGATTGAATAAAAGAGATTTGGAAGCAAGAGATCAGAGAATGAAAGGTCTTTCAATGGGATTGAATACAGTACAGTATAGACTTCCCAGTGAATTAAACTCCATTGTACCTGCAATTCATACAGTGATCAATGAATGTCTGCATGTCAAATGTTTTCTCGTACACTAATCTCTGAATATCACTTTTGGTGATATTTTCTTCTGGGCATTTCTGTTTCCTCTCGGTTGTCTTTTGGTTTCTCATTACAAGGTGTAAGTTGTAAGATAGTCATGTGTTGAAGTAACTCAGTTGTACTTGGGACTGGTGCAGCAGCCATATCCAGTTACTATCCTCAGCAGTATTTTTTAAGAAAATGAGATAAAACCTTACGACAGAGTCCTGAATCATTTTATACAGTGCCTTGAAATCTGAGTGAGAGTTTTATTTGTCTGTAATATAATATCCTTGTTTTTACTTTTAAAATATCTACTTCACAACTGCTTTGTTTCTTTAACTAATCTTCAGATAATAGCACAAAGTGAAGTGCAATAATACCATTAAGGGTACTCACCGTTTTTGCTCTTTTAAACTCTACAAAGTCGATTTGTTTTTAAAAGCCTAGAAGTGTTGTGGAAGTAACCCTTAAAACAATTCATGCACCAAATGCATGCTAATCATTATTTAGTGCAGTGATTCTCAACCTTTCTAATGCCGTGACCCCATAATACAGTTCTCCATGTTGTGGTGACCCCCAAGTGGGTGTGGCCACCAATAAGAGGGAGTAGGACAGCTAGAAAAGGGAAAAAAATGGCAGACAGCATGGTTTGGCGACCCCCGTGATATGGTCATTCGACCCCAAATGGGGTCCCAACCCACAGGATGAGAACCACTGATTTAGTGACTAGAACAACTAATAGTGGGCATGTTTTGCAAAAGAGTGAATCAAGGTTCAAGACACTGAAAGAGTTTTCCTATTTCTTGATACCATCTCAAGATACATAGCCTTTCAATGCAGTTTGCTACCCATATTCACCTGTACAGAGAATTTGTAATTATTTAAGTGACCTAGTTCTATTTATATGAGGCTGTACAAAGAGAGGTAGATAATATGCTTGCAAAGAGCAGCTACTAATGAATTCAGAACAGTGACTACATAACTTTCAAGAAATTGTCAAGTATGAGACTGACTACTTCAGAAATTCTCAGATGAGCACAACACATACATTTCTGAGATTGGATTCATCTAGATTGATTTAATGCAGCATTTTTATCACCCCAAGCATAAATTTATATACGTCTATTGTATCTCTCTTTATTCTTAATATAGAGCCACAAGCGTTCTGTTTGCTTATAGGGGAGTCTTTCCAAAGCTGTGTGAGGCTTTTCATTATTCTTCTCCGCTTTCTCTATAGTTGAAGTGTGATGATCAGAACTCTGCACAATATTTGAAGTGTTACTCCATCATCAACAACTTCTTAAAAGGAATTGCAATATTGGAAATTTAATCTTGTGATTCTTCTCCTACTGATCTCAGCTTGGGTTTAGCTTTTTTAAAAAAAAAAACAGTCCTATATTATACTGATATTTTTACTGAGCTGTTCACCTATCCTCTGTGATTGCTTTCTTATTCAGTCTGTGTCTACTCAATCTCCATCCGTTTATATGGGCTATATGAAGTTAGAATATTTTGCTTCACTTTATTCTTGCATATTTTAAGATACATAATATCATTTTATGCTAATCCATAAAAGTTTTCAGAAGTATTTTTTTGGCCTTGTTTGCTGTTCCTCTTTATTTTGAACATTTCACATAGTTGGGTGTTCACTTCACATTGCTTGTAAACAAAGTTTAAAATCACCAAACAAACCTATATTACAATAATTTAGTGTTTATTTCTACTTTTGGGGGGGGATTGGTTCACAGAAGTGAAAATGATAATCTGTTGAATCTGAGATCTGTATGAGTTGCCAGCACCCTGATTGGAACAGGGTATTAATGAAGTATAAGATTAGAATAAATTACAAGAATTAATAAATAATTTGCAGTTACTCAGTAGGAGTCCTTCTATAGTCATACAAATATGGATCTTAATCAAAAAATATAAGGCTGTAATCTTACGCATATATACCTGAGAATAAGACCTAATTGAAAGGAGTAAAATGTATCTGTGATTAAACATGTATAAGATTTTTGATAAAAAAATAAAAGAATAGAATGTTGTGTGTGGTAGTACAAGTAACCTATACAAGCTTGATAAAAAAAAATCTGTTGTCAAAGTGTTCCTGCACTATAAAATCAAGCTTTATCATCTGTAACTTTCCAATAATTACCTTTTGCTTTATGCAAATAGATGTTTTAGTAGCATTTTTTTTTTACAAACATGGCTTACTCTCTCCTTCCTTTCCCCGTGGGCTTGTCAAAATGTAAATATCTGGATTGTTTCTTCCTTGAATCTATATCCATGCCTACTCACGATTTTATAAATATAGACACATCTCATGATACACAAATTATTATATTTACTGGAAGAACTATCAATAAGCAGTTATTGATTAACCTTGGGATACTGTTTCGCATTATACAATCTGCATACTATTATTTATTTAGCAATATTAAAATAATTTTAGAGTTTTAGAAAATATTATATACCAAATATGAAAGAGCAAATGGAAATACTTTGCTGTAATATAAGTAGAGGATCAAAGTGGAGTCCTACCTCATACTGGCTGAAAAACAAGCAGCTCTGCTTAATAAATTTCTATTTTATGTGACCTTACTTCTACTGTTTATTAAAACATAACATTGTATAAAAATAATAGAAAATGGTTTCTTTAGTTGAATGAATACCTTTTGTTGAGACTGACTATGCATTGATTCTTTCTGCAGTGGCTAAAAAATCCTGGCCCCCAACATGAGAAACGGACTTTGTTTGGGGACATGGTGTGCTTCTTGTTTATAACTCCATTGGCTACTATCTCCGGCTGGTTGTGTCTGCGGGGAGCAGTGGACCATCTGCACTTTAGTAGTAGGCTAGAAGCTGTTGGGCTCATTGCACTCACTGTCGCACTCTTCACAATTTACCTCTTTTGGACACTAGTAAGTAGTCTTTTGTTTCGACTTCTATTTACATTAGAGTATGATAAATCTTATAATGTTATTCTGGGAACATCTGATGACACTTATTGTTGTATGAAAAAAGATCAAACTTCTTTATTTGAATAACAGCTTCATAATATATATTAAAATCGTGAGTGGCTTGGTGGCCTAGAGGTAGAACTCTCGCTTCACACTTAGGCAGCTGTGAGTTCGATCCTAGTTGGCAGCAGATACTTCTCTCTCTGGCGCAGTGAATAATTGTCGGCTGTGAACTCCATGCAGGCGTCAGGAAGGGCATCCAGCCAGTAAATGCTCAGCTCCAGTCAGTTGCCCCAACCTCACCCCGAAGCAAGGGATTGCAGGGTCATTAAAAGAATATATAGTATATAGAAGTTCTTCTTAGAATGTTCTTGGCTGGGAGAAATGGCAGAATTATTTTATAACATTCCCCCCATCCCTCCTCTACAGAACATATTGTTAGAAATTATATTCAGATTGAGGACAAATTTAACAAAGAGTATCTCTTCTACCACAGAAATTGGTCTGTGATATTAGATGCATTGTTTAGATTAAAAAGTATTCCATCTGTAGACAGATGGCTTTGGATCCAAGCCAGTATGTGGAAAGGCCTAATGAAGAGACTTTAGCCAGACTACAATGAGTAAGTGTGGGGGGGGAAACCCTAATAAAACAGTGCTAGGAAAATAGGTAGCAAAATATTTTCAGACATCATCAACATCATATCTACGCAGCAAGGAAAAAATAAAACAGATTTCCTTTCTCTTTTGGCACTAATAATGGGCAGACTGAAGGTAAATCTCTGAAATCTTATCCAGCATGCTTTGTTTTCTCTAAGTTTGGGATGAAAGATTCAGCTTATATAAGCCTGCTTCTCATTCTAATGTGAATTCTGAGACACCTGCATTTACCTCCAGACCAGAAACTTGAGACATTGCTCATCTTTCCTAAATAAGCTTTTGTGGACATTGTTCAGGACTAACAAACTATAGTGCTCTGAACAAGCTATAGTAGGAAAGATCTGAGCTGTCTTTTTCCTTCACGATTGGTAATAAGAAACACTTTTCAAGGCTCAGTAGATTTCAGAATAACAAGTCTGGAGCTTTTAGTTAAACCTGAGTGAGAAAGCTATGTTAGACACCACCAAACAGTTTCTGCCTTGTAACCTTGTACACTAATATATTTTGAAACACGGGCTGTCTTTCTTCCTCCAGACATCCAGATGTCTCAAATATGGAGGAAGAATTGAGAATGTGATCCTTTTTGAATTGCTGAATTACTTAAAATGGGCTGATTGATTTTCCCTGCTGAACAAGTGTAAAGAGAATGCAGTCAATCTTCCCAGTTGAAAAGCATCTGCAGGAAAGAAGCGGTGGTTCCTATAGCAGAGATGCATCAACTCTACAGATGCTTTCATAATGAAAAGAAAAGAAAACCACTTTTTTACTTATTGTCCTTTATCTTGTAATACCATTATAGGGTAGACGTTTTTATATAGATTTTAGTCAACCTCCCTTTCGAGTTGAGTAATCATATAGGAGAGACTAAAGAAGAAAAAGAATTGCATCTAGTGCCATGACTACCACTCATGCCAAAAGACTTTCCTTTCCTGTCAAGTATGTTGCACACTTGTGCTTCCCCAGATATGCCTACTGTGGTCCAGCAGCCATCAAGAACAGGTTCCAGTGTGCAGCTTCATGGGAGAAGGTATCCTTACTGCGCAGACATCATTAGACATAAGTCAGACTTGAAAAATAGTAAACAGAAGTGTCCTCCTCTCCATAAAAAAAAGAAACATGTTCTGCTTAATCTCCCCCCCCCCTTTAAAAGATGCTACTTTCATTATTGGTTTCAGCAGTGTGCAGCCACTAATCTACAAAAAAATGGTGGTATTATCTTGACATAGGATTGAAAATTCTTATTCAAACAACTACTGCATAATCTTCAACAGCAAGGAATGGTCTCTCTCTTGTTTCTCTGTTATACCCTGATATTCATCTTGCTGTGATTGTAAACTTCTGCTCATCTATTTTCTCCTTTCCTTGTTTTCCTTATTTTTGAATGCCATTCTAAATATTTTTAGTTGGGACTAAGCTCCATTAAGCTCAAAGAAATTTACATCTGAGTAGAAGTGCAGTGTTTTTTCCCCAATGTTCATTCTTAATTATTTTCCTTTGTTCCTATGCATACCTTCCAATTCCTTAGTTTTCTGCAATTTCTGTTTCACTGAACTGTTATTAATATATGCTAGCTTTGGAAGGTCACCAACTTTCTGATACTTGGTGTTTGCAGTTTTCTCTAATCCGTAAAAGAAAGAAAGCTGAAAATATGTTAGTTCAATCCCAAATAATATGTTCCATCTTTAATTTCTACTTTTGCTCTTAGTAGTCTCTAATTGGAGAGCACTGGAATGAAAAAAATAGCATGCATATTTGGTTGGTCTTGTTCTATATGTTTTCATTGTATGGTTTTTCAATCCTATTATGGTTTCTTTATCAAAACTGCATGCACTTTAGCATTTATTTTAAGAACCTTTGAATAAGGTGAATATTCCTGATAGAAAAAGGAATTCATTGACAGCACATCTGTATAAATTAAAGCATTTCATATTAGATGGACCACATTTGTTTTACTCAGCATTCATAATGCTGTTTGATACTCTGTTTTCTGTCTTGTAAAGCATGTGGACTTACAAGATCCTTCTATGAATTTTTGGCACGAAGAAATTTTTATAATAAGTCTATGAAATTTGGATGACAAAAATCCACATAGTCCCCAGATAGCAACAGAGTATTATAAAAAGCTATTAACCTTTTGCTGTCCCCAGTAGTCATCTGGATTTTTGCTTTCCAGATCTGAGAGTCCTGTTTAGAACCTCCATTTTGATCTACTTCATGCATTGTTACTGAGAATATTACCAAAAATAAGCTTAGCCAGTTGATTCAGGTAATGCTATAGCTATAATATATGCCTACTTAGCACAGGAGTTCTAGATCAGAAATTATATTAGTTTCTATCTTATTTTTCTGATAAGAGAACCAACTTTGGAAGGAAATAGTATTACCACTTTTCCCAGGCTTAAGAAAAATAGCTGTAAGGTCACATTGTCTATCTGGGAATTCTGGGAATTGCAGTCCAACATAAGTGGCATAGCAAATGGAGACTGAGAATTTTTGCACACTTGATCATTTACTTTCATTGTTTACACCTAAGAATGCCTTTGTGTATCCAAAATTGCAAGGAATAAAGGTTTGGGAAGTAAGCTACAGAGCAGAAAAAAAGAAAGAGGTTATATCCCTCTTCCAGAAGTTCTGAGATATCTACATGTCATTGTGAAGCCAGAAGGCTATCCACATATAAGAAAAAGCCATCAGCTATATCTGTGGTTATGATTAACTCTTCATTGAAAACAGAAAAAGTGGGTGTGACTGGGGTAGGAGTGGACAACTAAATAGGCCAGAATGTAGGAGTAGACAAGAAACTTTGCATGTCCTATGGATCCTTTAAGAGGTTGTATTTCCCTCCTGGCAACCAACCATTTCTTCAGGTTGCTTTCATTTTTTTCAGATTCTTATTCAGAGTCCAATAGGCTAAAAATATAAACAGACTATAAGGAAGATCACAGAAATACCAAACTACCTTAAGCACACTAAATCTTGCTCTGACACTGTGTCCAAATCATATGGGAAAATGACTTGTTTGAAAAGGATCCTGCATATGGAATGGATGTAAAGAAAATTGAAAGAAGCTATAGAACAGTATTTTTCAAACTTGGCAAGTTTTAAGATATGTGGATTATAGCTTTCTTCATATCATGGTGGCTGGGGATGTCTTCGAGTTGAAGTCCACACATCTTAAAAGTCGCCAAGTATGAAAAAATAGCACTATAGAACAAGAGTTTCTGACAGCAATTCCATGCATACATTTTGAAGCCGGTAAAATAATGTGTTCTACCCTAAGTCTGCTTGCATGTATGGATTGCTTTACAGTTATATGCATTCCAGCTTTCTACATGTCTTCAACCTTAGGAACATCTTCTTCCTTTTATTGTTGGAAGAGGTAAATTGGTTTTGGCTCAATCTATTTGCCCTACTTTTTATGAACATCAAGACAGTCTTTCCTCCAGACTAGAGACTTGTTGTGTTTCATGTGGAAATAAAATGAAAAGGTTTAGCTTCTACCATTCAGGTCCATAAATGCTAATCTGAAAAGCCATGTTTAATTTTACAACCATTTTGATGTGTTAATATTTCAGTAATACTTGTGATTTGATTGCATGGAATTTTAAGGAAAAAAACACCCCATTACTTTCAAAATCGAGAGCTTTGGAGAAAAATATCAGAAGATTTTGAACATTTTCTTTGAAGGATTTTAGGTTCAAAATAATGTTTTAACCACAGTTCAAGATTAATTTCAGTTTATCAATATGTGTGCGTATATACATATACAGTACCCATGCATACATATCACACACACTGTCATCCAGCAAGAGAGATCATGCACCTTGGTGTTGCAACACACTTAATATGGGTCTGCCTTTCAGAGCTTGCAGTTGGAAGCTGCAACTGGTAGAGAATGCAGCAACCAGATTCTTAACAAGAGAATCTTATTATTGCAGAGTCTCTCCTATTCTGTGATCACTGCACCGGTTACTGTTAGTTACTGTTAGTGCTAATTATCACCCATAAATCCTTCTGCAGTCTAAACATCAAGAGAGGTTGTGCCCATGGAATATAGATCAGAAGGCAGCTCTTCTCAGTAATGGCTGCCACATTATTTATGTATTTGTTTATTAAATTTATATCTTGCCAACTTCAGACAGACAAATGAAATTAAAACATCCCTAGGATTACACAAATGTATTACAGTAAAACATGCAGGATAAAAGGCATTATGACAATAGCGTTAAGATGTTCACAAAGAAAAAAAATACTAATACTAAATGACAACAGTACTTGTATAAGAAACTCTCAAGTTTGTTGTCAAAAATTACTAGTAAGATTAAATTCAGCCAGCAAAAACTCGGGGAAAAATCCAGTCTTTAAGACTTCTGGAAAGCCATCACAGTAAGAACAAGTATAACATTGTCAGGGATGCTGTTCTGTAAGTCGTGTAATGGAAACACAGAGTCCCTGGGGCTTCTCCGATCTATGATGAACATACAGGATGGCTCAGTTTAGTTGAGAAATGTGTGCCTCGTCCCTTCTCTTCTGACATTTTAAAGAGCACCAGAAATCATTTTCTTTGGTCCCTTAGGAGAAATTATGGCAGGAGCATTATTAATGATCTACTGTGGTATATACCATCTAGAGTCTCTTAGATTCGAGTTGGTAAAAAAACATGTTTATTAAATAAATAAAATGTCTGTTTAAATCAACTAGAGGAAACTGCTCAAACCAATTGTACTAGGGGAAACTGCTCAAACCAATTTTTTACTGGAATAGTTTTTGACTGGAAACATCCTTTAGTTTCAATAAAATTACTGTATGTTATTTCCATAACATATGCAGAGTCAGTCTTCCAGAAAAAAATTCCGATAAGTTCTACTCTGACTAAAATAATAGGCAGACTGTATTAATATCTTTCTCATTATTTATATTATCTGGTACAGTTCTCCTGTTGTGCTGCTGCAGTCAACAAATGTACATAAACATAAATGTAGATAAACAATATATGATATACTGAAAAGGACAGATTTTAAAAATTATATATCCCAAATTATATTTCATATTAGGAAGTATGTAGGAGTTATATTTTCTAGAAAGTATGCCATGACCATATTTTATTGTCTTTTAATTGCTACCCAAATAAATACGCATTTTAAATTACAGTTGGAGAGCTGAATCCAACAGCCCATGAGGGTCCTTGTCATCAAACTTTGGAAATTTCCTGTTGCTGTCCTCTTCCTACAGCTTTCTCAAATCCCCTTGGGAAAGTTGAGAGGTTAGGGAGGCACCTGAGGATTTATTTAATGATAAGGATCTTAATTTGCAAACTTCAGTACAGAGTATAACTTAAATTATCTCTGATCATTAAAAATGCCTTTCATCCATGAGTGTTGCTTTACACATACATGGGGAGGTGATAAGCCTAAACCAAACATCAGTGTATTGAATATACAGTTTCAGGGGCATGGTAAGTGCATGGTTTATGTTGCTTGCCAGATGGGAGAACCTTTCTTATCCTGTTATAATTTCAGTGGGAATGGACTGTATTAATGAGGCAATGTACTCCCAGAAAAGAAGTTTCAAAGTTTCAACAACAGGGCTTCAGTGTAATAGGAGATGATACATGATAGATGAATAGATAGATAGATAGATAGATAGATAGATAGATAGATAGATAGACAGACAGACAGACAGACAGACAGACAGACAGACAGACAGACAGACAGACAGACAGACAGACAGACAGACAGACTGACTGACTGACTGACTGACTGACTGACTGACTGACTGACTGACTGACTCACATTAAATCCCAATCCAGTTTCTATTCAACCAATTGCCGCATAACAGTTTTGCAATATGCTTGGATTATACTTCATTACCTCATGATTTTTTTTTAACACAATGGCATAAGTCTGTGCAAAATTGCATAGGGTCTGATACTGAAATGGTATAATAGTCCTTACAGTCCTGTTAGTTTTTTTTCCAGGCAAACAAAAAAACATCGGACTGTTCATACTATTTGAACACATTTGCTTTCATTTAAAGAAGTCATTTTATTGTCCATTTTCAATTCACTAATAACTGTAGCACAGGAGGTTGGGCACAATTCAGATGATCTTATTCCATTTCAGCTCAAACTTATATTGCCAAAATAATTATATAAAACAATTAGATTTTAAGTTCTAGTTAAGTTTGATATTGATTCAGGCTGCTGGTTTTCAAATGTGATTCTAATAGTTGCAATTTCTTAGTAGCCTTATTGCAGTTTATGTTACCACAAGAAAAGGGTTTAAAATGTATCAAATATGCAACCTGCATCAGGTTAACTGAACCTAATACATCTTATAATCCATGATGCTTGGCTGAATCCACTCACCCAATTAAACTCTATTTTCAATCTTTACTTATGGCATAATTTGGCTTTGAGACTTCACCATAGATAGTCCAGAACTCCAGAGGTATTGAATGTTGTGATGTACAGTGCTGTGGTATTACATATTGTTGATTAATACATTGTCTTTCATAAGATATACTTTAGGGCGGTTATCATTTTTTCACATTGGCCTTCCTATTAAGCCATGTATAAATGAAACCCTGCCATCTGGGTGAGTAACACTGCTGTATCTCAATGAATTTAGTGGAGCAATTATTTTGAGAATAGAGATCCATACATTTCAAAGGAGCTATTTTCTGTCATTCCTAAATAAGACCCTGTTTTTCTCAAAGACTGCTGATTACCCCTTTAAATGAATCTAAGCATTGTTTTCATTATCAATGAACAAATCTCATCTCTGTTCTAGGCAGGAAGGGTCCTGGATCCAAGTTTCTGATTTTTTAACAAAATGATGAAGAACAGATCCTGCTTTCATATGGAGTTTGAATTTTATAACTAATTTTATAAATTTACAAAAATGTTTAGTCAAAATGTTTTTAGAAAGCCCAAAAGATTTAGAAATGGTTGTGGAATTTACACAATTTTGCTATCAACTAACAACATTGTTAACTGAAGACTTTCCTTACAAAATGCAAAGTTGAGCTTCTGAATTTGAGTACCGTAGCTGACATTGCTTAGGCATTGGCTGTAGGCAAGAACTCATTGTAAACAGCCTACCGGGCTTAACTAGGTTATTTATTTGTTTGTTTATTTGTCGTATATAAAAATTGCCCATCTCCCTTACAGAAGGCCTCTGAGCAGTGTATAATAAAATATCAAAAGCATAAAAAAACAGTATATAAAATTTAAGAGAGGCAAGGAATGTTAAAAATTGATTAAAAGGTGTGGGGAGGGCTTTCAGGGCATCAACTAACCTGCCAGTTGTGTGCTCATCTGTGTTCCCCAAGCAAGGCCACAGAGCCATGTTTTCATGCCTTTCTGGAAAGTCAGGAGAGTGGGGCCCTGCCTCACTTCCAGGTTGAGTGTTCCACAAGGCAGAGAAGGCTCTCTTCCTGGACCCCGCCAGTCAGAATTCTTTGGCTGACGAGATCCACAATTTTATCTTCCCTGCCTGACTAGGTGAGATGGGCTGACATAATGGGATGATGTTATCCTGTGAAAATGCCTTAAATTTTCAATGAGAACCTGGCTTATAATGCAAAAATTGCTGGAAAAACTATCCTTTCTATAACAGAGAGGGACTCTAGGAAAGAATCTTAGTAACTTAAGGAAAAGCCCATAAATGTAGATAGCCTGTGGTATTATTGTTCCACTAGTGGGCATGGGTAATGAAAACAGAGTCTTCCACAGATGGCTAAGGTTCTGCAAAGCTACGCTTTTTCCATGTTCCTGATATCTCCTCTTGAAGGGAGTTCTTAGTCACACCAGCCTGAAACTGATACACAATAATTAGTTCCTTCACAATGAGTTTTATAAATAGTCCTTACCTTCTATCCTGGGCACGGATAGCTGACAGGAAATGGCATTGTGGAATCTGCCTACTATTCCTCTCTCACCACTATCACACATCCAATCAGAAGAATTTGAAAATCCAGTGGCCATTATAAAAATACTATCACAGCAGCTTGAAAGAACTCTGATCATTTAAATCTCCTTACAAATGGGTTATTATATATATTACTTCCTAACTATGTTGTCACTATTATCCCAATATATTGATCTGTCTGAAATAAAATTTGGATATTTCCAAAGAAAGCCATTGCCAAATTATTACTGCATAATCCAAATACCAATCTGAAGAAAGTTGCTTTACTTTGTTGCATAGCAAGGTAACATATTTTTAAAAGGGATGATACTCCACACTATCAGCCTTTTTAAAAAACTGAGTTCAGAGTACAGTTCTTGAATTCACTGAAATTATTTACAAAGTGATCCTAAATAGACTGACCTATTACCAGGTATCTTTTAGCTCCATTGGCTGCTATAGAAAAGGAAAATTAGATTAAGTATTACAGAAGCAGATTGAAAAACTGAATTTTTAAATCCTTTCAAGATTTCCTTGAAGTGCATGTTGAGTTGAGAAGAACTGGAGTTAAAAGAGAACCATCCAGGTTGAGGCACAATAACGCAATTTGTATTAAAAGGCTCTTGATTTTTCTTCTGAATGTGTTTCTCTAGTCATCTTAACCATAGATATTTCTCTTTATTTTCCTGCAGGTATCCTTTAGGTATCACTGTAGATTATACAATGAATGGCGTCGGACCAATCAAAGAGTTATCCTTCTCATCCCAAAGTCTGTCAGCATCCCTTCTACCCAGCAGTCCTTGCTGGGCCTGCATTCAGTCAAAAGGAACTCAAAAGAGACCATTGTCTAATTGTGATAATCTTGTCCAGAGACCACAAACTATATGTGTGTAGCATCATAGTTGGAAAGACACTTTTTGTAGAAGAAAAGACATGACTGTTGCAATTTAAATCATGGATGCTGCAATCATATGATATTTGCTAAGCTGCCAAACATGTCTAAAATTTAGCAGATACTGTATGGAATTTTCCAACACGTGTTGATAGCTGCATCACTAGGGATGCAACTCTTTTCTAATTGTGATTAAAAACTATGATGGCAAACACTGCAAAATATGTGAATTGTATTATTTCTGAGACAGGTCCAGATATCTTCTATGCTGCATTCCCCCTTCCTATATTTAGACTAATTAAGGAGAATTGGAGGATGCTTTAAGAAGTATAATGACATGGTGAGTATGTGAGAGAGCACATGCATACAAAACCCATTTGTCACACAGCTGCACTAGGTCCAGAGACAGCTAAAAGAAAAATTCTCAGTGGAAGGCTAATGAAAAGTTTTATAGCCTAATGTCTTGAGAAAAAAAAAATTGAAGGATTGTAATTACCTATTAAGCACAATCCCCCCCCCAAAAAATGAGGTTTTGATATTTATGTAGTATATTTCCTCTTCTCCAGCTATACACCTTCTGTGTACTGGAACTGCTACTTCCAGAGTTAACATCATGCATTTACAACATCAGGAACGAATCAAATTGGGAAAGTCTGTTCTATATTTTCCCAAATTCAATAATTGTAACATTTCTTTTTGTTTGTTTGTTTGTTCTGTTTTATTTTTGTGCTTTTGAGTCACTTTTTTCTCTTGGCAACTACCTGTGGATCTCTTTATGTGCAAGAATATCTTTCACTGCCATGATTAGTATATTCTCTTGTCTAGTAACAGATATTCTGTTATACATATTTATTTCAAGGCTAAAAACTTACGCTTATTCGCGTTTTCATCACAATAGTAATCTTTGCAATGAGGAGAAGTAGGGAAGAAAGCTCTCAAAGTCTCTGCCAAACTGCAGAGAGGAGATGAACATGATCTGCTAAAATCTTCCCAAAGCCATTTGAAATATTCTTATCTATTTTTTTTTACCTTCAGAATTTCCACTTTCAAGGGACCAGTTTCACAACAGTCTGTAATGGTGAAGACTTGCAATCATGGCTATAGACTAGAACTGTTGTATCCCTGCTGCAAAACACAGATGTCTGGAAAACATTGTTTCAGAAAGCAATTTTCTCAAGCAGAGAGGAAAAAAAACTGTTGTGGAGAAATGATTGAAATAGCAGAGAATTAAGTTGCATCACAACAATATTCTCTAAATTTAATTCCTAAATTTATTTTGTAAGGGGGACTTTTGCACAGATAATAAAGGACTGGCTCATTAGACATGTTCTAAGAAGCTTGGACTTGCCTTGCATTACAATGAGTAAAACTACAGCTTTGCTGGATTTGCAACTTGACAGATAAGTTTAGATGAAAACATCTAAGCCTTAACTTCTTTGTGCTTACCAGACTAAGACCTCTTTGTTAAAAATGTTTATAACTGCCCTATAATCGTAGCCAATTCCAATTTGGAATCTGAATGTTAAATTCTTCATTTCTTGGGTGGCATGTCTTGGCATGACTGTTTTTCCCAAAGTAGACAAAGGCATTTCAATCTATTATATTTAGAATTGGGCTATCAAATGGACTTTTCTTACAACAATAAATGTTCCTAGCACGTAGAAAATTTATTAATTAAAATACGCTACTGAATCATATTTCAGTAGAAGAAATTTCAACATTTGTCTCTTATTTCCTATGTTATGGGGGCAGGGGGGATGAAGAGGATGTGTATAAAAGCAAATTGCAAAGACTTCAAATAGATTGCACAACTGTTCTTTGTTAAGTAGTAGTATTGAGTCTCCACCACATGCAGATTCCAGTCTACAGCTACTTTTGGATATGATTGCAGCCATCATACGACACCAGGTGCAATTTACCAGGGTGAATTGCAAACTATGAAAAACTCTACATTCCCATTATCCTTGAGAAATAAGCACCTCCAAACCCATAAGGCACATACACATAACTTTCATGCCTTTAAGTCTACATGGGGAGATGATTTTGCAGGGCTTGGTGATGAAAAAAGATCTTTCTGTTATTGGTAAGTCAAAAAACAGCCTCTGTGTTCATCTGTTCAGTTGCATCTGATTTTTTTTTTTTTTTGAGTCGGTATAGATTAGTAAAAATAAATGAGAAAAAAGGAGTGGCTTTGCATAAAAGAGTTACTTCACAATGCACAAGAAACTCTGAAAGAGCTGTAAACTTGTTGAGTGACAATCAAACTGAGATCATACGCGGTCAGGACAAATGGCATAAATACAAGTAGATGTTAAATTGTGCGGTCAATATCGTGTTTTCCCGAAAATAAGACTGGGTCTTATTTTTTTTTCCTCCAAAAGAAGCACCAGGTCTTATTTTCTAGGGTAGGCCTTACCTCCAGAACTGACAGCTCCACCCAGCCGGTCCACTTCTTCTGGGGCCAAAGTTCTGCAGCTGCATTCAGGCCTGCATTTTGCAGTCAGGCCTTTCCAGAAGGTCTAAGCAGCCAAGTACCGTGCTATGGATTCAATCTATAGCTTGGTACTTGGCTGCTGAGGTCTTACAGAACTGAACTATGGATTGAATCCATAGCTCGGTTCTTCGCTGCACAGGCCTTCTGGAAAGCCCTGTGACTGAGAAATGCAGGCCTGGCTGCAGAAGAGGCCTCAGAAGAAGAAGTGGGCCAGCAAGGAGAGGCCTGGCTGTAAGGTAAGTGGGTGCTGGGCAGGTGGACAGCTCAACACACCCACCCCCGCCCTAGCTTGATTTTTAGGTATGTGCCTTGACCCCAAACTAGGGCTTATTTTTGGGATAGAGCTTATATTAGGCTTACCCCTCAAAATCAAGCTAAGGCTTATTGTTGGTGTAGCCTTAAGGTACTTTAGAGATAGAATCTGAGAGGATGTCAAGGGTTCATTAGCATGTGCACAGTTCCTAATTGACCTTAGAACTCTGACCAGCTGCCTTTCTGATACTTTTCTTTAGTGCCCAGCAGTGAACACATATTGCAGGTCTTGGGGTCTCATTGGAGCAGACTTAACGGTAAGTATTGGATGGGGTGCAGGAGAGAGAAATGTAACAAAAGTTCCATAATGCAAGAAATCTCTAGTTTTTTTTAACCCAAGCTATTTCAATGATTTTTGAATATGCACAAATCATGAATATTAAGCCAAATATATAAATGCCATGTATTTTTAAAAATGTGTCTATTGGTTTATTTTTTTGTAAAAAAGAAAGGAAAGAATGAACAGGGGAATGGAGAAAAGAAAGAAATAATTGATTCAGAAATAAAATAACTAAGTAGACAAAGCAATTATTGTGCAGTTAGTGCTCGGTATATTGTTGATGAGAATTTAATCTTATAAACAAAGTACATAATTTTTTATTACAAGAAAAGATTTAAATCTCTGAGTTAAGTGGAGTAATCATTGTTATTTAAGAAAACCAAGACAAAAACTGCTAAAAAGTCACAGATAATTTAGTTTCTAATTTCCCATTTGCTGTACAATAGTTAATACTTTAGAGCTATTGGATCACTTGTAAAAAGTACTCACACTTGGACTAAACCTACACTTTTTCTTTCTTGTTCAGAATAACCTCTCTTTAACTTAATCCTCCTCTATAACACGATTAGAATGTCCCACCTGCCCAGTTCATGTCTCCCCCACAAATTGTAAGTCAATATAGATTCACCGACCAAAGTTGTGGAAGCTGATGCAAAAATAACACTATATCTTTATATTTTTTATTTTATTTTATTCATTGTTCCAGGTGATGCTGGAAGTTTGGTAAAACTGTCCAATGCATCTGGAGAGCCAAGATGAGGAAGGATGCTTTAGAACTGTTGTTTTTCAAACTTGGCAACTTTAAGATGTGTGGAGTTTAGCTTCAGCTTCCCGAATTCCCCAGCTAGCATGCTGGGAGTTGAAATACACAGATCTTAAGAATGCCAAGTTTGAAAAATTCTGCTTTAGAAGGATATACCTTTGCATAAGGGGGTATTTGTTTCAGAGGCAGTCACCCAACCAGAGAAGCAGCCGCAGCTTGTTGCCCCTTTCTCTTCTAGAGAGAACATCCAATAGAACTCAGGATCCTGACATTCAAGGCTGGACTGCAGGATCAGAATTGTTTGTCAAAATGACAAAAACTATGTTGTGCTGTTATAAGAAGTGCACATGCAAAGGGATGACACTTTCATTGTGCCACTAGAAAATTTTTTTATCATTGTTTTCCCCACCTCTCCTACATACCTGTGGGCATAGGCACTAGACTTCTGCAGCTCTTCTCCAGCAGGGCCTCCTAACATCCAGATCCGCTATAGTACTGCAGAGAAATGCTGCAAAAGCAAATCTGGACCATTAACACTGGAGCTACAAGCAGGCAGTTTTCCATCGGCAAGTTGCCTCAGCTTTACTAAGCTTTCTCTAGAAGCCAAGGCATCTTGCTCCCTTTCCACAATTTCCTCGCACCCTTCTGTTCGGAAATCAAGGTACCAAATCGCTCTTCCATGGAAAAACAGTCCTCTGGCCCTCTGCTGCACAGACTCGGAGAAACAACAAGGAGGAAATAGATCATGCAAGTCATGATTATTTTCCCATTGTTTTCAAGATGCATACAAATCAATATCTTTAAAATTTGCTCCATATTTTTCCCCAGTGTTAGTTTGCTGGATTTTCCTCCTCTTCTTTTTGAATGTAGGGTTGCTTGCTCCCCTCTGGTCAACTGGCATTACAGTATTGGATTTTTCAAATCTAATGCACACTGTAAAAGTTCAGCCACATCACCATGTTGTTCCTTTAATTCTGGGAAGTACCGGTAATTCATCTGGTCTTGAAAATTTAAACTCAGAATGCAGTGGTATTTTACGTATTTGTCAATCTCAAAATTCAGGCCTATTCTTTACCATGCTCTTAACCATATGCAGCTAGAATCCATAAGTTTTGTTTGAAAAGGATTAGAACAGGTTTGTTAGGATGACAGCTGTACAACCTAGCGTTGAAGACAAGATAATGTTTGAGACTGAACACTAATTAAAACTTCAAATTCAAAGAAACTAAAAATATAAAAAAGAAATTCTGATGATCAATGGAACTGGAGATAAGAGGAAAAAATGTAAAATAAATATATATGTGGCATTATTGTCCTTAACACTGTTGTTTTGACTTGTTATCTAAAGAACTCTGAATCGCAAGAAGAGAGAT